GGAGCTCGATATGTTTGCAGCCTACATTGCATGCATACGCAAACACGATGCCTACCTAGCAACCATAAGTTTACTTACCCCACCTCGCGGGGGAGTAGATAAGGACACCCGCGAGACGCTCTACTTGTATCCCGGAAGCAACGGACGAATAGACATCAGCAGCCCGAATATGTCAGACACATCTTAACGGGTCTATATAAGGTTATACTCACATATATGCACATATATATGTCAGACACTTATTCACTTTGATTCCTATTTGCATACTTGCTCGTCACCTTGAAGAGCTCGGCCTATATTAACTTAAGCGTTGGAGACCCTTGCCCGGGACATCCACCTAGGCTCTCTAATATCGTCTTTCTGTAGATCAGCTACTTAGGTGGCATTCCGTAACAATGAATGGACTTCTAAACACCGAAAATGTTGCTTTTTCAGCGGATGGAGGTCGTTTGGTTCTGCCACTGAAGCATCCCTTTGAACATTGAAAACCCTCGAAATAATTCAGTGATTGAACTACCCTCCAAACGTGTTTGGAGGTAGAGGACGAAATCTCACTCCCGACTATGTCTTTCTATAAATTTTAAAGGGGAAAATTCCTTATGACTACCTTGTATTTTAGGGATTGTCTTGTCTATGCTGCGGTTAGACCTGTTCATGGGCTGGGCCGGGCCGGGCTTTTACTGTGTATTAACAAATTTTTTTAAGGCCTGAGCCTGAGCCCGGCCCGACCATCGGGCCTACAATTTGGGCCCGAGCCCGACCCTCATAAAAAGCCCGAAACCCGAGCTTGGGCCCGGGCCCGAAATTTAACCTATATTATTATTATTATTAATGTTGAAGCAGCTGAATAAAGAGAGAGATAGATTGAAATTATAAAGAAAAGAATAAAATATATATATATTAAATTATAAATATATATTTTAATAAATATTATATTATTTATATATTTTATAAAATATATAATACTGAATTGGGTCGGGCCGGGCTTTTTTGACAAATCCCGAGCCCGGCCCGAAACACAGTCGGGCTTACTGTGTTAAGTCCGAGGTCAGGCCCGCGGGCCTAATTATATGACCAAGCCTGGCCGGGGTGCGGGCCGGGCCGGGCCAGGCCGTCGGGCTACCCGGCCCATGAACAGGTCTAGCTGCGGTGGTTAAGAGTGTCGGGATGAGAAGTCTTGGATCGTACGAAGCATTGTCAAGGACAAATTTGAATCATGTCGAGATGAAGGCGTTGACGGGAATCCAGGCATTCTCTCCTCAACGTTGAAGAATCAAACTGTGATAACTGAAGAATCGAGAACGAAAGAAGGCATAATACCCCAAAACATAGAAGCTTGTCAGTGAAGAAGAAACTTCACATCCAGAACTAAAACCAATGTACAAATAAGGTAACCCAAATTCCATATTTATCTTCGCATTATTGCAGAAAATGGCATTGGAGTCATGACCCAAATTGTTCTTTAAGTTACATAATTTCTACTAAATCTCAGAAATCAAAAATCATATAATCAAAATCAAAATTGAAAGGAAAGAAAAGGGCGTGACCTAATTAACTAAAAAATCGGTAGCGATGATATCATTATTGACTTTGATGTGGCCTTTGAAGGTCGGTTAGGGTTGAAGGTTTAGAACTTAAGGTTCCGGCCTAACTTGCAACCCTGCCAGCCTCTGTTCAGTAGTCGCCAATAGCATGGGAACGAGATAACGTTGTTTCGAGACAAATAAATAAATAGATAAACCCAACAAACTCAAATATTTGACAATTAGAATTCGATTTCCCTACAACATCAACATTCTCGGAAGCTTGGATCACTGGCACAGCCTGGATGGCAACTGCCAGCTGTTGCCGCTCCTCATTTGAAGCATCTGTCCCAAGTGCTTTCTGTCTGATGAATCAAGAGAATGGTGTTATGCACTAACAGAATAGCAAACGGAGAAGAAGCCAAAGTGTGTTTTGTCTGATAAACACCGATAATGGCCATGGCAATCGGCAACTGTTGAATATTTGAGTTTGTGGGATTTATTTATTTCTTCTCAAAACAACGTTATCTCATTCCCATGCTATTGGCAGCTGCTGAATATTGTTTGTTTCAAAGATTGGATTGTACCTAGTTGTGCGAAATTCAAAGGCTGCATTGAATTGAAGTTAATAATGTTGTTGTCGCTATCAGATTTTTAATAGGGATACTGGAGTAGGAAATTGTAACAGCAATTGGTTCAGTTTTAAGGTAGAAGACAATGAATGGAACAAAACCCATTTAACAAAACCCTAAAATAAAATGTACTGATCAGGAATTTTCCCATTTAACAAAATCCAAAATTGGTCATCATCTTCCTCCACCCTTCCATAACCGGAAAATGTTAATAACCTTACACCCTGTTACGGTGCTCATCTTTGCACCATCATCCTTGTGCTCCTTTTCTCGATCTCACTTCTCTATAGTCGACTCAGTTTTGATCGACGGTCCCAGGTATACCCATTCTCCTCTTCAAGATTAGGGTAGGAGATTTTTCTGTTCTAAATCTAGATTTCTCACAAGATTCCTCCAATGAACTTGATGAACTCGTTGCCAATCCATTATTAGATGTAGACGACAATGGTTTCAGTAACGGAAATGATGATCAGATTGATGAGCTGGATGTTGTAGAAGAAGAGAGTGATGATCAGTCTAAGGTTTTGAATAAAGAGGAGATTCTAAGAGGAGTGGATGAAGAGGAATCATAGTTGACGGTGTGGATTAGAATAGAAATAAGAGGTTGGGTTATTACTGGGATCATCCGATCATGTTCTAGGAGTGACAGAAATGGGCGTTTGATAAGTGTTCGATTGTTGAATAGTGGGATGACTATTCTGATTCTACTTTTGATCTGGATTCAAAGGATTGAAGTAAAATTATGTTTGTTTTTGATAATCAGAGGAGACACATTGTTGAAGATGGATTGAAGACAAAACCATTGGGAATTTTAGAGAAGCAAAGAAGCCCCATATGATTCCTAAGGCTCAATTTGAAAGGAGTAAAAATGCAAATTTGTAGAGCGTAAAACCTTGTATTTTATATTATTTTGTATGTATTTACATTGTACATATTTATATTTGTACTCCTTTCAAATTGAGCCCAAGTGATTGGAGATGGTCATGGTCATTACTCTTCTGCTAGGAAGAGGGGTAAACATAGACTGCCAAACTTTATTTACCAAATGCCACCTTGATTGGAAACCAAGCTCCAAGTCATCTCTGCCAGCAGGGATCGTGATTTTTATCCATCATCACTTCCCATCAATTAAACATAGACCGATAACCAACCAAGGGCTGGCCGTTTGTGTGTTAGCTGGTTTGTTCCAGCGTTAACACAGAATCGAATCCCACAACCTACACTTTGGGAAAAAGGGGTGAAGGGGGAAGTTATTAATGGTGCATGGCACTCAATACCAAAAAAAAAATGTATATGAAATGTGCAATAACACATGCAGAAGCATCACAAAAACAAGTAATACACTCGACAATGCTTCAAAAGCTCCTCGCAATTATTTTTCTTTTGTGATGCTATCTACAATTTCACATTTCAAGAACGTTGTGAATTTGTAGGGTTAAAAAGAAGGCCATTACCCTTTATCCAGTGCCGCTCTCACTTAAATGAGGTTTTGGGAGGGACTGATCGGGTACCCGAATTTTTTGCATTTTTTCACTAAGATGTGATCCCAACTTTCTTTAATAGAAGAAGTAGGGATTTGAGATCGCTCATTCATTATCAAAGTTTGGATGGTTGATAAAGAAAATTAGATGACACTCAAAGGGTATTTGTGTCTTTTCAAATGCTACTTAACGGCTGATTAATGGTAGATGCTAGATTGACACATTTTGAAAGATCGGGTACTAAATTGTCGTTTGTTAAAGTTTGGGGACCAAAGTGACACTAGGCCCAAAGTAGAGGGTACTAATTTGGAATTTTCGCTAATAGCAACAACATGTATTGGAAACAAACAACACAATCTTACCCATGCACATGTAGGAGGAGGAGAATTCACATCTGCACCTCACTGAGTGTGCCCAAAAACGCCCCACAACACATCCAATTATGTATTGGGAGGATCGCAATGACAAGTACAAGAGATGTACCCAATGCACGCATGTGGGGCATTTTAGGGGCGCGCTCAGTGAGGTGCAGATGTCAACTTGGAGGAGAAGTACTACTTAGACTTAGATAAAAATAGTATATTAGCTAGACCTATTCATGGGCCAGGCCAGGCCGGGCTTTTACACTTCATTAATGGAAATTTGTTAGGCCCGAGCCCGTGGACTCACCGCCGGTGATTGTATTCGCTGGAGCTGAGTTCGCGGTGACTGAGCTATGACCTACGATTTTAACAGTGATCAGTTCACGTCTGAGCAAGAGAGAGAGAGAACTCACCACCGTCGCTGGTGTCTGAGATTTGAAAGAGAAGAGGAACGAGAGAGAGAAAGAGAGAGAGAGAGAGAGAGAGAGAGAGAGGACTCACCGTCGGAGTTGTTGTGCCGGTGAACATTCGCCGCTTCGCCGGTTTTGTGGCTGCTTGAGAGTGTGAGGACTGAGAACTGTGGAGGATGTGGAGAAGAAAGGTTTGGCTAGAAAAAGAGGTGAAAGAAAGAGGGGTATTCGACTGGGTTTTTAGCTTTAATTATAGGTTGGGCCAGGCTATTTCGGTAAATCCCGAGCCCGGCTCGAATTTATTACGGGCCGGGCTTTTTGACCTGAGGTTAAGCCACGGGCCCATTTGTGTGTTCAAACCCGTCCGCGGGCCGGCCCGTCGGGCCACTCGGCCCATGAACAGTTCTAATATTAGCTAAGAGAACAAAATAATAATTCTTTACATCTACTGTATCTGGAGGATAATGATTTGCATAATATGTTTGCTCCATTGTGCAACCTGATGTGCTTTAACATTAAAACTCCTACTTATAACCATGAGTTTTATAAACTGTAAAGAGTAAAATAAGTTTTGGGTCTGCATTAACAGCCCCAAGTTCCACCAATGTAGAGAAGTTCTGTTCGTTGTATTTTTTTGTCAAGCCAAACACAGCCTTAGAAGATTTAGAAGATTGCGTGCGGAATCTCCGGATCCGGAAGTCCTGGATTTCCAATTGGCAGGAAATGGCCTTTGTTCCAACTTCCAACTTCCCAATCGCTAGCGTAAAACTCGATTGAGTGAAAACCGAAAATCCAACCCAACCAATCCAACAGGCCCATAGCCGATCAACTTCCACATTTCGAAACCTGATGGTTGGAAGTTGGAACAAGCACTCGATCTACTAAACCCTAAAACCCTAACGGAAGAAGAGAGCAGCGGACCACCAAAGCACAGGCAAAGAATTGCTGTCCGAGGAGAATGGAAGAATCTTTCGTCGAAGAGACAGAAAACAATAAAGAAACTGAGGTTGCTCCAGCCCTAATTGCAGTTCATCCGACAGAGAAATCTGTGGCTGTTGCTGTCGGCTCGGAGCTTCGTGTCTTTGATTTGCAGTAAGTTCTCCCTCTCCCTCTCTCTCTCTCTCTCTCTCTCTCTTCCTTCCACCCCCTTCTCTATCCATATGTGTGTGTATGTGTGCAAAATGACGATTTGTATAAAAAAATGCTTAAATCTTATATTTGATGCCTCATGACAACACTAATAACTCTAAAACGGTATGATATCCTGAAAATTAATCATGAACAAGTAGCTCTTCATGAGAGGGGAAAAGAGCCCAAGCAAATCAAGTCTTTCAATCAGCATTAAGATTGTTCCTAAACTACACTTCACCCCAACATTTGAAATGATTGATGCGTTCCTGTATTTAATGGTGGTAATGTGAACTTTGGATCACAGATGAACATTTGGGCCTGAAATGATTGACCTCCATTTGTTATGTCAAATAAATGGAGTATAGTTAACTTTGAAAATTTTGATTTCATTTAGGCCTATTACTGCCTCTTTAACCAAACACCACATTAGCGGACTATTTTTTTTTAAATCTTCAATGGATTGGGAAAAGAATTAAAGTTTTGGTTACCTAAGTGGAATTTAACTTTGATACAGAAAATTAGGCTCAGTTTGGAAGGAGTACAAATGCAAATTTGTAGAGTGCAAAACCTTGTATTTTGTATGTATTTGCACTGTACATATTTGTATTTATACTCCTTCCAAACTGAGCCTTAGTGACTACATCAAACACTTTATAATAGCTAAATTTAGTAAAGTGCAATTTCTAGGTCAGTAGACTTGTCAACTTTCTATATCTGTTAAAATTATGTTGTTGGGAATCATGGAGTTAAATTGAGGGTAAGATGTTCATTGTTATTTTTCTCAAAAAAAAAAAAAAAAAAGATTCTAGGTTACATGGACGACTACATTGATTGCTCTTTCAAATCACATTCTACACTTCTGAAAGTTAGAACATTATTCTGAAATAAAAAAGGCTTGCTGATTCGTTCCTTTCTTTGCAGTGGAGATTGCTCAGTTTCATTGGTGGATGATTCTGGAAGGTCTTTTCATACTGATTCCATAAAAGCAATTCGGTTTGGTGCAAAAGGAAGGCTCTTTGCATCTGCTGGTGATGACAAGCTTGTCAAGATTTGGACTACTGATTCCTGGCATTGCATACGTACAGTGTAAGTCTATCTGTGTTTGTTTTATTGTTTATGCTGAGAGACATATTGATAGTCTTCAAGGGTCCATCCATACTCATGATTCAAATTTGGAGTCTTAGGACAAGAATTGAAGTCTTCTCACTTGCAAGAATGCCATTATTGATTTGTCTGATCAGATGACCTTAAACTTTGATTCTGTTGCCATCTGTTTAGTGACTACTGACTAGATAACATGTGGGGGAAAAATAATCTTTAAAATATGTGACCATTCCATCAGACATTATTTTATTGATCTCTAACAGGTGATATTCACCGAATGTTGGGCCTGATTTCTGGATGCTGCTTGGGGGTGGTTTGGATTTAATAGCTAGAAGAGGAAGAGTAAGAACTGTGGGGGATGTCCATAACCATAGTTTTCAAGGTGCCAAGGCGAGGCTAGGCGACAAGGGGGTGCCCAGTCGCCTAGTTGCCTAGGCGATGGACTTTTTTATGTAGAAAACGTAGATCCTAGGGTAGTTCCCTAGGTACCATAACCATATTTCCTTAATAATTATTCATAACTTTCGTAAGAAAAGTATAGAGCATAGTTGCCTAGGCGCCTAGGCGACCACAGGGCTCTCAATCGCCTAGGTGACTAGGCGATGGAATTTGAAAGTATAAAATATATATCCCTACTCCTCTTAAGCTATGTTATTGGTTTTTTATACTAACAAACATACCTGTATGCTAGCTATTAGCAATAAAATCTTCGAATAAAACCCAAAATGCCATAGCTAGCATCCAGGCCAAAAAAAATGGGGGATTGCAGATAAGAAAAGAGTGAAAAATAAGGGGGCGGAGCCCCTGTTTTGTTCACAACATAAGTTGTCCAAGAGGACGATGTGGACTGTGTTTAAGGGGGTGGAGACCCTGTTCCAGGCTAAAAAAAATGGAGGAGGATTGTTAAGAAGAAGAAGGAGGCAGAGCCCCTGTTTCATCCCAAAAGAAGGAGGCGGAGCCCCTGTTTCATCCCAAAAGAAGAAGAAGAAGAACGTACCAGGAGGTCTTCTCGTCATCGTTTTCTCTTCTCACTCTCGTTTTCTCTTTTCTTTTATTAAAGTAAAAGAGAATTACTTTAATAAAAAAAAGATAATATACAACAGGGTGTATTGTAATAAGATAAAACAAACCAATAAAAATGATATAATACATATGCACATTCAAAAAAATAGTATAGCATATATATGTGTGAGCGCCTAATACAAAAACACCTAGGCGTTGGGCGAGGCAACTTCTAAAAATTGCCTAGTCGCCTTGACAACTATGGTATAGAGTTCATGTTAAAGTATAGAAAATCAACATATTAATGAGAAGAAGAAAAAGAAGGAAAAGAACGTTCAAAAAATATAAGGGTTGAACCCTTATTTTTGTTATAGGAAAAGAAGAAAAAAAAAGTAGTAGTAGAAAATGTGTTGATTAGACAAAATTTTAAGTTCTTCCTTACTTATTGGTTCAGATTTTAAAGTTTTTGAGGGTTCAATACAGCATTTACCAATGTTTGTATTGATTAAACCCTAACAAATAAGAAAATAATAAAAAGRAATTAGTATATAAACACACAAAATGAATATTTTAGTTTAATAGTGCCTATTTTATAATTATAATGTCAAAAAATAAAGAATAAAAAGTATTTTATAATACGTAGTACAAAACTGCTTGGCGATTAGGCAAAGCGAACCTCAAAGGGCGCCTTGTTGCCTAGGCGCCGCCTTGACAACTATGTCCGTAACTCACACAGTTATTTTATCAGGCAGCGCTGATTTTATTTTTCTTTGCACTTTTGATGCCATCATGCCACTAGTGATGCCATCATGCCACTAGTGATTTAGAAGGCGCGCCTAGGCACTCAGGCGATCCTAGGTCCTAGGCGCAACACTTTCAAAAGGCATGCGTCTAGTGTGCATAGGTGTGCACTCGATGCGCCTTGCGCTTCATCCCAGGCTTGTGCCTTTTTTTAATTTTTTTATGCATTTCGCTCACTTTGCTCACACACCGAAGCTCTAAGAATCCCATATTTGCTAATGTTGTTCATTCATTCATCATAGTAAAATATCTTCTTAAAAGACAATTAACCTTATAAAATCATTTATTTTTGTATAAAGATTAAGAATTTAAGACCCTAACATGGATTTGTTTGGGCTTGCCTCGAGTGGCTTGGTACAGAGGTGGCTTGTAGAATCAAGAATGCAAGATGCTTTATGTCACACTAGCTATTTTAACTAATGCAATTGAGGAAAAAAAATAAATTGTGGGTTTTACATTCTTGAAAATGTTTTATATGTTTAATTTTATTTATATTATGATTAGTATTTTTATTTTTTTGCATTTTTTGAATTTTTTGTCATTTTTGTGCCTTGCTTCAAAAAGTCACACACCTTGCCTTGTGCCTCAGGCGCAAATTGCCCCTTGCGCTTTTTTTGTGCCTTGTGCTTTTAAAACACTAATGCCACTTGAGTAGGTAGGATTGGGTTGGGTTGAGGACCAACCCAGTCCCAGTCTAAAAGTCAATGTGTAACCTGAGCGCACTCATTATTGGGTTTGAATTTAACATACTTAAGCTAGACTGACTCAGGTTGTGTCAGTCTTGGTCAGGTTAGCTTGTAAGAGCTTATCTGTTAAAAATAGGTCAATGTGAATATAATAGGATTCTAATCACATTTGTGATGCTCCATTGTTTGTATGTCCTGTAAATTGAATATAGTTATGCACATTTACATATAACATGCATTAATAAATTGTGCATTTTGGGCTAAAGTTGGATCTTCTTGCCTAGCTCATCAATGCAAGCCCCTCGCATTTGAGTTTCCTGACTCAAGTGTGACCTGTTTGAAATGGTTCAGACAGTCTAGCTCAAGGTTAGGTCTGACTCAAGTTTCACTCATAATCTCTATCGCTTTTACATATCAAAGTTTACAACTTTTACTTGTTTTGCTTGTTATTTTTGTTGTTTTTTGTATGAAGAGATTTTTTTTCATCATTATTCTTATTTATATGGTTTTGGTTGCCAAAATGATGCAGGTGCTCTGAAAAGCGTGTGAGTGCAGTTGCTATAAGTCATGATGGTCTTTTTGTTTGTTTTGCTGACAAATTTGGTGTAGTTTGGGTTGTGGGTCTAGATGATAACAGTGAAAATCAGTCTTCTATCAATACAAAGGGAGCACCGATCCTTGCTCATTATTGTAGTATCATAACTTCTCTGGTATGGAACTTTACTATATTTTGCCCATTCCTAATCTTTTATTTTTCTTTTAGATGAAGCAATTGGCTTTTATTTGATTGGTAAATGAAGCAATTGATTTTTACATAATGAGTATCAAGTAGGCTTTTTGATGGATTTAATAGGCTAGTTATGTTTTGATGACTATGGTTAGAACTCAGAACTCATTGAGTTAATAGATGGGAAAGAGAATCTGTTTCTTTTCACTTTAAGCTGAAAGGAGATGAGAAAGTGAAAGCAAGTTTTTCAGTTTCTCATGTTATGTGGTTCTTTTAATGATTGCTTTTTTAGATTAAATTACCGCCCTAAATATCATTGTTATTTATTTTCACTTTCCATTTCATGTGCAGGAATTTTCTCCTGATGGGCAATTCATTGTTAGTGCTGATCGGGATTTTAAAATTCGAGTAATTCAATTTCCTGGTTCTCCAATGGTATATTCATCTCCCTGTATAGTTTCACTGTGTCCTTTACACTTATTGTTCTTCTTTTGGCAGGTTACATTGTTCCCTAAGAAACCTCTAAATGGAGCTCATGAGATACAAAGTTTTTGCCTGGGTCATACAGAGTAAATTTCTATATGCATTTTCAATTTTGTCTCTTCTGATGGTCATTTATTTCTTGGTATATTTATCTCCCTACCCAAGAAAAGGAAAAAAAACAAGAAATAAAAAAAGTTCAACATTAGAGGATAAAACCAACTGGCAACACTAGAGGGAAAGTAAATTGTGATGGCATGTGAAAAGAAAAAAAAAAACAATAGATGCACCATTGATGTGGAGTGAGGTGGTAGAAACTGAAGTTTCTAAAGAGACAAAGGAGAGGCCCGGAAGAATACCATCGACAATTATATTTAGATTTGTTAGTATCCATCTTATCTGAATACCAATGAGACTAGGGAGTGAGGGAAGCCTCTTTCTCTTGCTTGGAGGGGTGTTTAGGGGAGACTGATTTACAGCCATATTCATGTATGTATTGGCAGGTTTGTATCCTGCCTCGCCTTTGTTTGTTCTTCAGATTATCCAAATGGGTTTCTTCTCTCTGGCAGTGGTGATTCAACTGTAAGTTCATAATTTGGCAGTCCAAATCTTTATGCTATTTATAGGAAACCTAGTGTAACTACTGGTCTACTTTACTATTGCAGGTCCGCTTGTGGGATTTTACTTCTGGATCCCTTCTTGATACCTGTGAAGTTGGGGCAGAGGTAACTCATTTATTCTGTTAGTGAGTTGTTATTCTTCATCTAAATAACCCATGGTAGAAGGAAATGAATAACACAAAATGTTTGAGATATGGAAATTAATACTCTTTTTATTTTCAGCCTTCTCTAATCACCTGATAATGACATATTTGCTTTACTTGCTTTTCAAAGGCAGGACTTGTAGAATCTGATAGAGAAGAAGTCTGCCAGCCTGCTGTCACTGATATTTGTGCCTCTTCTGATGGTTCATTAGTTGCAGTGGCCATACAGAGGCAAGTTCCTTAGCATTTTTGTACATATCTTACCTTGCAAAGGGGTTTTCAATGGATACATCGGCTCAGGTGTTGAGACGCCGTTTGCATATTTCTTGTTTATATTTGGTTTTGATGAAATACTTTTGATTACTGATCAAAAAATAGAATCATTTCCTCAGTACTTCTAACGGTGTTTTTCAAATTTAGCTTGCATGGAGTAATGCTTCTGAGCTGTGACCTTTCTATGGGAAGACTTTCTGTTGTCAAGGTAAGTATGTCAATTTCCACAAACATGGATAAATGTTCTGAGGGAAAAATATAGCATTGTGGATAACTACTGAAATAACAAAAGCTATGAAACCTGATTTATGTTGTCAGCTATGTTTTCAATTTGATCTTACTCATAGTGACACCTCCCAAGCATTTGACTGTGAAACTATATCTTGTTTTACTGGAAGAGTCACCCTGTATATTTTTTATTTCACAATGGATGTAATTTTTGCAGGTGGTTTCAATGGATATTTCCATCCCTACAAGTCTAGGGATGAGCTCTGCAGATCACTTGTGGATGGTCACTGGTGTCTCCAGTATACCTGGCACCAAATTTCCATCATTGGCCCGTGTGAGGGTTTTCTCTGGTTTGCAGAAGGATAATCTAAACACTAGCAAATGTGGACCAATTTTGTTGAAAGATACTGATGTTCCAGGGGGAGAAAAGTTACTTGAAAAATTACAGGGGAGTCTGTCCATTGTGGAAGAAGAAAAGGTGTTGGAAGAAGCGGCTGAAGCAGTGAAGACAGCAATGCATAATTTGTTAATTAAAAGGCCGTATTCTGTAGAGAAGCGTGAGTTAAGAAAGAGGAGCAGAAATGATAGAAAGCTGAAAAGTTGTTAGTAGGTTTTATATGGTAAGGACATCATTTCCTTTTAAACCTTTTTAGTGGCAGAATTTTTCAAACCACTCCATTTTTAGTTTTGTTTGTAATATCAATATTTAAAGAATTTTTTTTTTTAGAGCAACATTTCTTTATAAGCTGTTTTCATAGGCAGGATTTTTCAAACCACTCCCCTTTTAATTTTATTTGTAATATCAATATTTAAGGAAAGAGGGAAGAAGGGAAGCCTTTGTAGTTTGTAACTTTGTATGCATGTAGAATGACCCTTGTTAGATTTGGCATTTATTGGAATCCCCCCCCTCCCTTTTTCAGTTGGTCTGAGAACTGTCTTTTAGCTTATCTTTTTGTGATTTTTTGATATATTAATACCCCTCCCCTCTTCTCTGTTCTCATAATAGGTCTGAAGTTTTTTTTTTATTTTTTTATTTTTTTTTGGGGGGGGTGGGGGTACCAGCAAATTTTATTTAGAAAAATTTCAATGTTCATGCATTGCATTGCTAGTGTAAAATTAAAATGAGAACAATGATTTTTTTTCATGCATTACATTGCATGGCTAGTGTAAAATTTCAATGTTCATGCATTGCTTACTTTACTCCAACAGAAACTGGTAGCGGTTGATTCCTTACCGCCGGATCAGACAGGGTGTTGGGGTTCTGGGATACGGCCTTAAGATTTCAGAGGATTGTTGTCGATAAAAATGAGAAAAAGAATAAGAAAAGGGGAAGAAGAAGAAGGTGGATGAGAAAGAGAAGAAGAAGAATTTATCGTCAGTCTCTGGTCGTCGATTGATGCCTCACGCTCAACTTCAATTGTTGTTGTGGCCGGTGGTCTAGTTACAGTATATTGAGATTTGAGAGAGAGTGGGAGGGGAGTTCGAATGAGAGAGGAAAGTATTATTGAGTTTTATTGTTTTTTTTTTTGTCTTTTAGTGGCTGGTCAACCAGTTGGACCATTATTAACCGAGCAGCCCCGTTAAACTCCTGTTAACTTACTAAGATGACGTCTTCATTTTTCATTGGCAGATGCACGCTTCCTGTGCAGCGAAGGGTCCACAGGATTCACGCTCAATGCATGTTGTTGTTTGGTTCACACATCAGAGCCACATCAGCCATCAAACTTGAAAATGTCTTGAGAAAGAAGGTCAAAACTCAAAAATGACGATTTCTCAGATAGGCTGATTTTTTAGAAAATGGCAATTTTTTTTTTTAATTCTTTGAGAAAACGGCTAACCAAACAGCATACAGCATATACTGTTTTTTTTTTTTTTTTTTGTCATTTTTTCAAAAATCTGATGTGGCTTGGCGCTATTTTGTGAGAAAACGACAATAAAACCAAGCACAACCAATGTTTATCATACGAAGCATATCAATACTAAACATGCATACAAACCACAAAAGGAGAGCAGATTATGATTTCTTTAAAGAAAAAAAAAAACAGTTTTCTATGAAGATGAAATTTATCTTCAAAACTTTGAAGCTTATTCGTGTTAGTCCATACCGTGATAATTGGTGCTTTTAGACTCTTATAGAGTCATCTTCGGTCACTTACACACCATTTATATGAGATTCTCTGGTCAGATATCCAAGCCTATTTTCTGAAAAAACATGGGAAGTTTCACCAGTTTACAAGGGAAATTTGGAGTATTCTTCCCTTACTATATCACTACTATTTATCTTCATGAAGTCGAGAATCTTTTAGAAAACCAAAATGCAGTTCATGGTCCAATAACCATAATAAGTGCATTAGCATTTTTGAAGAACCTGATGATATTGGAATGAAGAATGATGCCTTGAGATTTTGCCTGTTAGACTATACTTCTGCAAATTATTTTTTACACTATGGCTCCATTTGCTGCAAATTTTCATTTCAATGCAATAAGGGTGGGAAAAAAATTCAACCTCTAAAACTTCATCTATAATTTTAGCTTTTCTACAGACAAGATATCGTTTCCACCCCTTTTTAACATGGAAAGTTGGAAATATATATAGTCCAGCTTTAGCCTTTGAGGACTAAAAACAAGATCTAAAATATGAACACAAAACGGGCATATTATATCCATTTCCATAGAGAACGGCACGTGGCAAGGGTGAAAATGGTGTTGCTGTGCATTCATTCTGCCTGTCCCAGTTGGCATCGTCTGCATTGCATCGCATCCAACCTGTCAATACATATGGATACAGGTCAATATGGAATACCCCCAAAATGGAAAAATTTATAAATCATAAAGCTAATTTATTTTAAAATAGTTTTAAAGGTATAAAAGAAATAGAAGATTGATCTATAAATGATTTATCAAATATATTAATAAAAATGATTTTTTAAATTTGGATAATTCACAAGACAATAACAACAACAACAACAACTATGATGCATATGATATGATATGTATCTCAGAAATAATAATGGATATATTGATATATTTAGATTATATATTTTTGCAACTAAACAACATGTTTATTCCAAAATTAGTTTAATTTACATTAACATTTTTAAAGAAATTATATAGCCATTAGGTAGAAAGTTGACTTATTTTTCGGTAATATATAAAAGTACAAATAATAAAACTAAAATAATTGATTTTTTGGCAACCATGAAATAATGCATTAAAGCTTAATTCAGAGTTTCATATAAATTATCAATGTAGAGAAGCATAAGAAATACATCAATAATTGATATGAAACTTTTAAGTTTCAATTACCATATCAATTGTTTTATGGTTACCGAAAGATCAATTATTTTTATGTTTTATTATTTGTCCTGTTGTATATTTACCAAAAAATAAGTCAACTTTCTGCGTCTACCTAGTGGCTATATAATTTCTTAAAAATTGCTAATGTTAATTAAATATAAACTAAGTCAATTATTTTATGTTATAATCACAATGTGTTTCTTGTGCTTCATACAATTATTTTAACATCAGATTTAGAATTACTAATATATCTGTTAGATTTTTGGGAATTTTCTTGATGTTTCAATGTGTATCCAGATCTTTCCATCATATACCTTACTGATAAACACATTCTGATATCGATATTTTCAACCTTGAAGAGGATTGAGGAGGCGTGCGACAGACATATCCTCTATAGAGTTAAATTAATTTGATTAATCTACTAAGACAACATTTTTTGGATGAACGTAGCCCCTATTTTCTCATTCTTTCTTCAATCTTCACTGCAGATATACTTTCTAGAAGGTCGATGGCTACAATTTTCTGTTTATCCACATTCAATCTGTCAAAATGGAAATTGCAACGAGGTTGCTTTTATCACAACTCAAAATCACTATGAAAGTGCCCTCTTCAGCTACCATGTAATCTGCTTAAGAGATTGACCACACTGAAAATAAATAAATGTATTAGAGATTGGATTGGATTATCAAGAGGATTATTGTAACCATCAAACATATGGAATGATACTGATATTGGTGTTTGAAATCTCATAGAAAGGCCCATTAGAATCCCATTGACATAGGAGAGCTGTGGCGTGTGAGAGCACTTGATAGCTCTTATGTTGAAGGCACCTTTGTTGTCATTCTTTTTATTCTACTCTTCTGGAAAGGACCAGCCTTAGCCAGAAATCAAGACTAATTCTCCATGTGAAATGCAATGAACGATTCACATTTAGAATTTCAATTGGTTTTAATGAATCTCTAGCAATCTAACGACCTCTCTGTATTTCTCTTGGCTTGCACGGTAATAGCTTAAAGGGTTCAGAAGTCATAACTCCATGGGTTTCCAATCCTCTTGGCAATAATGGGTCAGATTTCTGGCTTCGAGACATAATTCTGTAAGCAACCCAAATCAGTTGATATGGGTTACGCAACGTATTATATGGGCTTCGTTTACAAAAATGAGGAAGCTAAGGCAGACATCCATTGTGATGTAAGGTTAGCTTTCCACAGTATCATAATAATTGAAAGTCATTATTGTTATTGGGAATCCTCAAACTGCTCCATTAAAATTGCTTTTGGTTTATAGAATTTGGAGTGCTTAAAAATTAAGTGCTTATTCAAGTAAGCACTTATTTGGGCTGAGACCACACCGATAAATACTTATTTGTATTTGGAAAGTAAACCCAAAATAAGTGCTTATTTTGAGAATAATCACTTATTCGAGAAGCCTAAAATTTAGGTTTATTTTTAAGTATTTATTCAATGTGTTTATTTCTGATTTATCTTGGCCCACCACATCATTTTGAAAATACCTATACTATCCCTATTTAAAATAAGAGGTTTTTTTATCAATCGCTCATAAGCGCTTATTTTTAAGAACCTTATTCAATAATCACTTATTTTACAAATAAGCAGTCCCAAACTTAGCCTAAGAATATTCTTATTCAAGCATAGCTCGATCCAACCCGGGTTGGGTTGGGTAGGTACTGGCCACTGGAGGCACAACTCGCCAGGGTTGCATCCCTTACCTCACCTGGCTTGTTGGGTCCAATCTTGAAAGTCGAAAAAAAAAAATCTGAACATATAAGGTTGTGTTTGGATAAATTTCAGGATTTGTACTTCTAAAGCAGAAAAACACAAAACCCACTAAAAAGTGTTTTGGCTTTACATCATTATTAACTTTTATCAAATGCTTAAATCGACTCATTTCTGTTTTCTACGGTCTAAAAACAAAGCCTAATCCTTCTATACCCCTTAAAAACCACCATAAACCACAAACCTGGAATACTGTGCAAGACCCACTTATACCAACAAAAGAGACCCACATAATACTAAATTTGTATCCTTGTCTTTGCTCAATCTAAAATCTGTATGACATTTGAATTTTGGAGATCTAACTTCCAAGGATAAGTCAATGAGTCATGCATATCTACGTAATTATGGATGAGGACAAATCCAATACCCTAGAGCAATTTGATCGGATCAATCCAATTCCAGCCATCCAATCAATAAAATTGTTGATGAAGAACAGGTGCTTAGGATTAATCAACAGGGTGGAACCCATCAAGCACTGAGTCATAATGCATTAATGCCATACTCCCCATAAATTTGTATGTATACCACATTTAGCATTTCCTATGGTTCATGATTATATAAGCCATTTTTCTATAGCTCTGAAAGAGTTTTCTGTAATACAATTGAACCAGAGTATTAAAAAAAATGGTTTAGACCAATTTGCACATAAAAAATATTAGTTGATGCCTGTGTCCTAACCACCCCCCCCNCCCCCCCCCACCCCACAAACCCTAGTGCAACAAGTTGAGATATTTTATTTTTAAGGGAGGTGATGCAATAGAGGTGGGACCATTGTCCTCAACAACTGGTTAATGTACTTAGACCATGTAGTAATTGATCAAAACCCACTAGATAGAGACTTGTCCATGATGCTGTTGGCCTTTTGTTCTTCTCCAGCTTAAATCCTTCTTTCCTTTTCTTTCTTTTTTCTTTTACTTTTTTTTGTTCTCATGATGAAGTTAATACTAAATTGTTTTAAGGGGTTAACATCACCCCCACATCTTAAGGTGGTCATTCGACTCATTTTTCTCAAAAACAGCTTCATGTCATCATCAAGCTTTTTCTATGAGAGTTCTCCTTGTTCCCAATTTCTGCTTTTGCTTTTTAGAAAAAGAAAAATTAGAAACTTGGGCATCTTCATCTATTGGCATTTCTGTTACTCTCTTTAGTGGTTAATTAAAGAGGGGTTGGAATCTTTAAAAGCATATATCTACCCATTTTCCTTACATGGTCACAACTCACAAGCTTTGAGTTGGTCGTTACAGGGGAACACGAGACCAGGGCATGATGACAATCCATGGCCGTTGATCATGCCACGTGTCAGGCTGTAAATGACACAAGTGGCAGATTGAGGTAGACACTAGACAGTAGTCGTATATGCCCTGTCTAAGCTGTTTGCTTTAAATTTTTCCTAGTGGGGCAACCAAGGACATCAATAATTAAATACCATCCTCAATCAAAGCTTGCAGAAAACACTCAGTGGCTGAGTTAAAAGGTCCACTTATGTCTTGACATTTGGCTCACTCTAACAATGAAGAACTTGTCCAGTGATTCTGTGACACTTGGCAGAACCGAAAGGGACATCTACTTGGTTGATGGGGGAGGGTGGGGTCACCAAGGCTTA